TCGTCCGCGCGGAATTAAAAAGATTATCTTTTACAAGTGTTCCAAATTTTATCGAGATCAGTTAAGCCGTTCCGAAGTTACCTTTTAACAAGCATACATCCATCTAAACGTTCACATCTTACTTATATAACTAATATTATAAATTCGAAGAATCGAATGTATGGATGGATGGATGTTGGAGTTTGTAGCTTAAACGGCTGAACGAATCTCGATGCAATTTGACATAGATGTGGAGGATAGTCTGGAAGAATACATAAGCTACTTACTTTCATTTTTTTTAATTTTACGCTGAAAGCTACTTTATAATATTAGTAAGAAGCAAGATAGAACAAAGGTTACTGTTAATTATTGTAGTTTTAACAAATTGAATATCAAAATGTTGTGTACTATTGTCTACGTACCTACAGGCAAAACAATACCAGTCTTATTTTAAACAATCTTTATGAAACATTGACAAACATTCCTTAGTTACTAACGAAATTAAATTAATAAATTTCATGTTATAACTTATATTTCATTTATTTTAAAAATTGTAAAGCGTTTATTTCAAACTAGCTTTCGACCGCGACTTCGTCCGCGTTGAATTAAAAAAAACAAAAGTACCGTGTGTTCTTCCAGAATGTCCTCTACACCTCTACCAAATTTCATAGAAATCTATTCAGCCGTTTAGGCGATTTTTTTTCTATTATAATTGTGAAAGGTTCGACGAATGTTTGTTACCACGTAACTCTAAAAAAGCTGTATGGATATTGATAAAATTTGGTATAGATGTAGTATGGAACGTATAGGCTATTAAATTTTTGTTTTAAATTTCCGGAATACAGCTTTGGCTATGCGTTCAGGTAACCAGCTTTTTTTTTATATAATATAAGGTGGCAAACGAGCAAGCGGCCACCTGTATCCACCGAAGTGGAAAGCGACCGCTGCCCATAAACATCCGCAATTGCAGATGCGTTACCTACTCTTCATTGACGGAGGAGGTGACGCACATAAGAGAACATTTCCCCTTCACATGCATCTCCTCTACCGTGAAATCCACTTTTCGTTTCCATCCTTTCCTCTTAAGAAAAGAGTGGAAAGGAAAAGGGACTAAAATTAGGCCTCCGGCACCACACTCATCAGACGAAACGTGGAATTAACTTCCACTTCACGCCTGTTTTCTGTGTGGTCGTGGTATTACACCGGCCCATTCGTGCGAAGATGTTAAAGCGGGCTCTACCACTGTTAAAAACCAGCTTTTCAAGATGTAAAGAACGATTAATTCAATTTACATTAACTGCATAAATGTAATTATGCAGGAGCTGTCCAAGTTCACTCCGACCATTAGCTCCGAAGTCGGTTAAAATTTAATAAACTGCAAGACAAAGACCAGCCGAGTTCAAAGTTTGAAGTATTATTGCTGAACATTGCAGGACAAAATTATTCGATGCGTTTTATGGGTTTCCTTATTTTTATTGTATAAAACGATCATTGTTAAAATCAAAAAGGATTCACATTAACACAATAATCTTACAACAACGTCTATCTATACTATTATAATAAAGCGTAAACACACACTTTGTTGATTAAGATGTCAGCAATTACAGTAAATTTTTGAATAATTCTACTTTTAATAAAAAGCCCTACACTAACGTCACGCTTTAGGCTATATACTTTTACGCTATTAAACTTGGGCAAAGCAAGGTTGCCACGGTTGTCAGCACGTCATTGACAATTTGACACTTGTAAACAATAAAATTGAAATTTTCGTAATTTTATGCAGATAAAGTCGCACGGGAACAGCTAGTCTACCATAAAATTTAATAAAAAAAACTTTACTAAGGTTAACTAACGCGAATTACCTGCGGTATAATTACACCATTTTCGACTTTTATACTCTTCCATACACTTGCAT